TAATGATCTCTGGAGATGTTTACACATTAAACAAACAGCCAGGAATGTTGTCCAAGGAAGAGCAGTGTTCAGGTTGGAAGGTAGACTGCCTCTGGGATAGTTGGCTTGCTCCAGGGAAGTCCTGGCAGTCACTCAGTGTCCACACCTGGCCCCAGCGGTGGCCCAAGCTCAGACCAGCTCTGTGTTACCTATCGATGAGCTGGATATGGGCCAAGACTTGAGTCCTGGGCCGCTTTTCTTAAACACAGGCAGACTGGGCTCTCATGTACCCCAATTTAGTTTCTGCTTAAGTATGAGAGTACTTTTCGCATGTTTGCTTTTATTTTTCCTTTATGAAATTCTCTGAGAATTACAAAATGATATTCTCTGTAGCCAAGTTAACATATTGGAGATAATGTAAAGAAAGAATTAGTTCCCTCACACACCCTTGAGGTGGCCAGTGGAAACACCCAGCATGCTCTTTGGGTACCTTTTCCTCTGCTTATTGTCACATATTTATGGATTTTTGTTTGTTTTGATAAAAATGGGGACAAATTTCATACTCTAGTCCACAGCTTATAGTTGTCACTTAATATTAAGTTGTAGCTATTTCTCTTGGTCAATTATTTAAGCCAGTGCTTTTTAAGTAGTCATTTAATATTGTATAATGTGAATGTACCATAATTTATGGCATATTCCTATTCTCTATGCAGTCTTTTACTCTCCTCTGTATGAATATTTTTATTCTTTTTTAAATCCTAGTAGTCTACATTTTTTGCATTTTCTCTTTTCTTTTTTCTCAGGTTGCTAAAGGCTTGCCTATTTAATTGAATTTGTGTGTGTGTGTGTGTGTGTGTGTGTGTGTGTGTGTGTGTGTGTTGGAGTCTCACTCTGTCGCCCAGACTGGAGTGCAGTGGCTGCTCCCAGCCACTGCAGCCTCAACCTGCTGGGCTCTGGCGATCCTTCTGCCTCAGCCTTCCAAGTACCTGAAACTACAGGCGTGCACTACCACGCCTGGCTAATTTTTTGATTTATTGTAGAGATGAGGTCTCATCAAGTTGCCCAGGCGGGCTCGAACCCGTGGGCTCAGGCAATCCACTCACCTCAGCCTCCCAAAGTGTGGGATTACAGGCTGAGCCACTGAGCCCGGCTAATTGATTTTTTTTAAAGGATCAGCTTTCGTTTGTTTGTTTGTTTGTTTTTGAGTTGGAGTCTCACTCTGTCACCCAGACTGGAGTTCAGTGGCACGCTCATGGCACTGTAGTCTTGACCTGCTGTGCTCAGGTGATCTTTTCGCCTCAACCTTCCAAGTAGTCAGAACTACAGGTGTGCGCTACCACACCTGGCTAATTTTTTAAAAATTTATTGTAGAGACAAGGTCTCACCAAGTTGCCCTGGCTGGTCTTGAACCTGCGGGCTCAGGCAATCCTCTCGCCTCGGCTTCCCAAAGTGCTGGGATTATAGGCTTGAGACACCACATCTGGCCAACTTTTGTTTTTTTACTTTTCCTTTTTCTGTTATTTTTTTCTCCCATTTCATTAATTTCATACTTCTTTATATTAAATAACTCTCTCTGCTCTCTATTTATTTGTAATTTATCTTTTTATGAATTCTTAGTTAATATATTGTTTATTTTTCTTCCCCCCCCTTTTTTTTTTGAGTCAGAGTCTCATTCTGTTGCTCAGACTGGAGTACAGTGGCATGCTCATGGCCACCACAGCCTCGACTTGCTGGGTTCAGATGATCCTTCTGCCTCAGCCTTCCAAGTAGTTGGAACCACAAATGCACGCCACCACGCCTGGTTAATTTTTTTTTTTTTTAATTTATTGTAGAGACGAGGTCTCGCCAATTTGCCCAGGCTGGTCTTGAATCCCTGGGCTCAAGCAGTCCTCTTGCAAGCAAGCCTCCCAAAGTGCTGGGATTACAGACGTGAGCTACCACGTCCGGCCATTTATTTTTCCTTTTTTAACTAATAAAAACATTTAAGATTACACTTTTCTCTCTTCTAAATACAAGTTTAGTTGTACCTCTTGAATTTTAGAATAAAACATTCTCCTTTTCATTACTTTCTAGTAATTTAAATGTATTTAATTTTTTTAGAGATAGGGTTTCCCTCTGTCACTGAAGCTGGAGTGCAGTGGTTCAGCCATAGCTCACTGTAACCTCAAACTGGTGGACTCAATCGATGCTCCCACCTCAGCCTCCCAAGTAACTGGGACTACCGTTGTGCACCACCATAGTAGGCTAATTAAAAACATTTTTTTGGTAGAGACAGGATCTCACTCTGTTGCCCAGGCTAACCTCAAACTCCTGGGCTTAAGTGAACTTCCCAGATATCTAGGATTACAGGCAGTAACTATTATTTCTATAACTCTATGAGCCAAATATTGTTCTAGGACTTTATATAAATTATCTCATTTAATTTATACAGTAACCATTTGAAGTAAGTACTGTTGTTATCCATGTTTCACAGAGTGACTAAAACACTGTCCCAACTCACCCAGGATTTGACTTTAGATCGTCTGACTTCACAGTCCATGCTCTTAATCACTATGCCCTTATAAGCATCCTGAAGAGTTTTTTCTTTTTTGCTATTTCTGGTATCTTTGGGCTAAAAAGTGGTTTTAGATACAAACCCCAAAGAGGAGCACTTCTGGAATTGCTGGGAGCAAAAACCATCCTACCTCGTGTGAGCAAATTCTGTTCTGCAGCTGGGAAAAAAAAAGGCTTGGAAGCTTCAGAGGCAAATGGTCACATTCAATTTCTGACATCATCCTCTGCATGTTAGAGACATCCGATACTTCGGAAGGTGATGCCCATGTAAATGATAACCATTGCTATGATTGTCATTTGTTTTATAACTCAGATAATTCTGACCATGCAGAGTTTTGTTGGCCTAGCCAAATATTGGTGAAATAACATCATTATCACCATCATACTCTTAGTGTTTAGTCAAGAGGAAATTTGAGTTCCAAGGTAAATGCAGGGTAGCATAGGTGTTCTCTCTCTCTCTCTCTCTCTCTCTCTCTCTCTCTCCCTGTCTTTCTCTCTCTCTCTCTTGCTCTCTCGTGTGTGTATCAGAGATAATTATATTTCCCCCACATTTCTTGGACTTCCCCCTTCAATCAAGAATGAACATAAGCCGGTCTCGGTGGCTCAGCCTGTAATCCTGCGCCTTTGGGAGGCTGAGGTGAGTGGATTGCCTGAGCCCGTGGGTTAGAGACCTGCCTGGGCAGTGAAACCTCATCTCTATAATAAATCAAAAAATCAGCCGGGCGTGGTAGCACATGCCTGTAATTCCAGCTACTCGGAAGGTTGAGGCGGAAGGATCACCAGAGCCCAGCAGGCGAGGCTGCGGTGGCCGGGAGCGGCCACTGCACTCCAGTCTGGGCGACAGAGTGAGACTCCAACTCAAAAAAAGAACATAAATGCTTTTCCATATGGAACCTGGAAGGGCTGGAATAAATGTTTAAACCAAGTGTGTCAACTTGGGTAACACTGACAAACATGTTATATGCCTAGTTACAAAGTGAGCTGATCTCAGTGAAGAATGGGGCCTCGTTCGCGAGCTTCCCTCAAATACAGACGTCGTATTACCCTTCTGGCCTTTACACAGAAGGGCTAGACCCGCATGGTGCCTGCTTCCCAGAGCACTTTTCATGCGGTCCACGTGTCACAAAGTATTTGTTGAATGCTTGCCATATATTTAGCAAATGCAGAGTATTTTAAGAGGTGCCATCAGCATACAGATTTTTGTTTTTTAAGGTGTGTGTATTCCTGGTGCTGATGGGAGAGACAAGCTTATGTGCATGATATTATGATAGAATATGGAACCAGATCATTAATTATATGTCCCTGGCCATAAGCATAATATTTACTCAGAAAAGGGAGATGAGGAAAGGCTTTGTGGAAAAGGAGGGACTCGAATAAGGCCCTCATAGAATTTGTTCCCTGGTAGAGTGACAAGGGCAGGGCTATAGTGATGTCAGTCACCAGCTGGCCTTGGGGACAGAAAAGGCACAAACCTGAAAAGAGAAAGGGGCTGAGGCTGAGGAACTATGGAAAATGTGGCTGGTGTTATTTTCAACTATTTAATTTGAAATGCTCTTTCAAATATTTCCAAAAAGGCAAAATCAGGACTCTCAGGAAAATCTAAAATAAACATGTGCCAAGGATTGTATTTGAATTAATGGAGGTGTCATTAAGATGTTAAAAAGAAGTTAGATGGAGAGATCAAATTTATAAATTCATAGCTAGACAATTTAATAAATAAATGTGAGGAGGATAAGATTGCTGGGTTAGGTACAAAACCAGTCAGTGTCTTACAGGACAACAAACCGTAATCTTTTGGGCTATCTCTTCCACTGGACAGAAGTTATTTGTATTTCTCCTGGAAAAAAATCTAAAAGTTAACATGTAGCTTCACTACATCTGGGACATTTAATCAATAGCAAATAGTGAGTCAAACTAAGTACATTCTCCCAAGTAGTCCTTGGGTAGCCTTTATTGAACATGATGTTGGAAAAGATATGCCCCTCACTTTGTTTTCTATTTCTGAGTTTTAGATAACTTAAAAAATCATACTGACCTACAAAGAAATGGAGAAAAACTTGGTTTGCTGCAGTGCCCTTTTATGGCTCTGTAGATGGGACCCTATGTCTTCTTATTCTATATTTAGTTTTTGAATAACTCGGACAGAGAAATCCAAAGGCTTCTTTGGCCCAGTGTCCTATTCTCTTCCTCTTTTAGTCTTTTCATCTTAGTTACCACTGACTGCCAGCTCTCGGCTTGGGCTTGACATTCATTCTGTGGTGATGTTGATAAGCAGTAATGGGGCATGAGGCAGATTCACAGGCAGGAAGGGCTAGTTTAACCCCACGCTGGGTCCCAGCTGCTGAGCCTTCGTGCCAGCGAGTGTGCCTGACTGGTGAGCAGGGTTCTCAGTGCTGGGCGGTTCTGCCCGTGGGCTCCTGATGCTTTTCTGTCTTGCTGACTCTTCCTACCTGGAATTTGCATGTCAGTGTGTTGCAGGTGCCATGTACATCACCGGCTTTGCTGAGTCCATCTCAGATTTGCTGGGCCTCCGAAATATCTGGACTGTGCGAGGAATTTCAGTTGTGGTGCTTCTGGCCTTGCTGGGGATTAACCTAGCAGGTGTCAAATGGATAATTCGCCTTCAGCTGCTTCTGCTGTTCCTGCTGGCCGTGTCCACACTGGACTTTGTGGTGGGCTCTTTCACCCACCTAGACCCAGGTAAGCCTTTTGGAGTTCAGTGTGTGGCCTTACAGCCTTATGGATTTGCACTACTTTTGGTGTCAATAGGTGTGCGTTTGCAGACAACATCCCCCCACACCCTCTAAGGCTTTACTGCCATTAGTGTGAGCCATTCCTGGTTCAAGAGAGTGGGTATGTCTTTGTGCAGCTTCCTGGGCCTGGAAGCCCCTCTTCACACAGACATTTTCACTGAGCACATTTTCCATGTGTCCTTTTATTTCTTTTAAGAAACAAACAAACAGCCGGGCTCGGTGGCTCAGCCTGTAATCCCGTGCTTTGGGAGGCTGAAGTGAGTGGATTGCCTGAGCCCGCGGTTTCGAGGCCCGCCTGGGTAGCTTGGCAAGACCTCATCTCTACAATAAAAATCAAAAAAATTAGCCGGGTGTGGTAGCGCACACCTGTAGTTCCGGCTACTTGGAAGGCTGAGGCGGAAGGATCGCTGGAGCCCAGCAGGTCGAGGCTGCGCTGGCCAAGAGTGGCCACTGCACTCCAGGCTGGGTGACAGAGTGAGACTCCAACTCAAAAAAAAGAAACAAACAAGCAACAAAAAACCCCCAGAAAATTTAGGTAAAACAAAGAAAAAAGTCAGATCTGGATGGATAAAGATCAAATTTATTTATTTATTTATTTTTGAGTTGGAGTCTCACTCTGTCGCTCCCGGCCACCGCAGCCTTGACCCGCTGGGCTCCGGCGATCCTTCCGCCTCAGCC